TGTTCCTTTAGCGTGCCACAATCTCTCTATATCTAGTTTGCCACTTCACATGTTCTCCGTTTCAAGGTTTGGACAGGAGGGGAAGCCCTGCAGTCCAGAGATTAACGACATTTCTACTTCCTTTACAGGTTGCTCTTGGTGAAATGAATGAGCTGCTGTCAGCAAACTACGATGCTGATAAGTTGCCTTGGGGAAAGCTAAGGTTTCATTCTTCTCAATTCTCATACTTATTATGTTATTACTCAACTCAAAATACAACAAAAAAAAGAAGAGAACTGTAGTTTTTAGATATACGTCAACCTGTTTTGAGCTGGAAATGAATGATCCATCGGAATATCATGATTCTTGACATTGCAGCACCAAAGGAGTCGGTGCCACGGCCCCAGATCCTAAAGCATCTCAAATACTTGAAGATGGTGTCATTGTTCCTTTGGGAAATCCAAAGAATCAACGAAAGCAGGTTCGTTCTACTCCTGTTTATGTCATCATTTTTACTTCATCGAAACGTTATATGCATCATAAGTTCGTGATTGTGAAATTATGAATGATACATATTTCTACTTTTTGTGTTGAAATGAACTTCCTATATACTAAACAGTGTCTTAAATATTTTTGCAGGGTAGTTTATTGTATAATGAATTCATAGTTTACAACGTGGAACAAATAAGAATGCGTTATGTTATCCAGGTTGAGTTCAATTACGGAGTATAATCATATTGTGAATATAATTTCTATCTTTTTTAAGTTTCGAGTATCAGTAATTTCATATAGGCATTAATGTGTCATGTGAACTTATATTACTTTTGAATCGTCCACACGATTCTAGCTAGTTGCAGTGAGTTTGTTACATTGTTTCTTTTTGTAATTATAAAGCACTCATGTTTTGCCTATTATTATTATTATTTTTTTGGATCGTTTTTAATTTTTGGAAAGAATAATTTTGAAAACCATAAAGCATTTGTTTTTTAAAATAATGCTCCGAATTAGTTATTATGTACGGACATAATTGAATCCAACTATTAATAAATGACATAAACAAGTATTTTCTTCGAAGTTCAATTGAATATGCGAGTCTTTTTCCTAAAATATAAAGCATATCATGAAGAATCAATAAAAATAAAGAAAGGATATTTAGGTGGGTAAATTTTTTTTTACCGATAGAATTAAAAATTTAAGAAAGTAAGCATGCAAAGAAACTGTTTTTAGTTATATATACATAAATCATTTGACGTCAGATGCAGAATTTCGGTTAAATGAGTGTATAATTATGAAAAAAATGTATCTTAAATATAAATTTAATAGATTTAATTTTTAGGTTCTTAATATGAACTATAAAATTTTAAAAATTATAGGTTCAAAATATATAGTACTACTAGTTTTAAATTTTAATATTCGCATTCGATTTAATTATACAAAAGCAAAATTAGTTGACAAGTCAAAATGTAATTGATAACCACTTAGAGAGGTAGTTACTCAAAAAGACTAGTGCACCCAATTATCATTGTATTATTTAATGATACTTTAAACATAAGTTCACACATTCATATTTATATATTTTATAAAAAAAATATAACTCTGCTATATATGATCTAGAGAAGAAAATATGGGTTCACGTTATCTGTTAAATCTATAATTTTTCCATAAAGAAATATGAATTATCTTCCAATTGAAATTACAATAAGAGAGGATCGACCGTAAAAGAGCCTAACGTTGAAAAAGAAGCAAGCCATTAACTTTGTTTGATTTTGTTGATTTCTTGGAAATTACATATTTATGAGTATAGGAAATTAGTGTTGAAATGTGAGGTAAAGGTCTACTTGCTTCTAACATTAAACTCTTGGTCATTTATTCAACACTTACTAAGAATGAAAAGTCAAAAATTTGTGGGAAAATGCTAAGATATTTTCGTCTGAAGAGTTGATGATTATATTGATTTCATTTTTTATTATATTAATATAATATTCATACTTTATTGCTTTCCAAATCTTGGGAAATTTAAAGGAATTTTTGTATACAAAGATGTTTGACAAACACCGTGAAACTGATTTTCTGCGATTTAAGTTTGGAATATATTTAGATCATGCAATATATGGCCGATTTGAGCGGTATTTTTTCAACATGATTTTCTTTATATTCATTGCTCTCAAGTGTAAAATAGAGTATGCACAACTATCTCTCGACCATATGTTAATATTATTTATGTATTGATTTTATGAAATAATACGTATTCCTTCTGTTTCTGTTTAGATGTCACCATTTTAGATTTCACACTCCTTTAAAAAATTATGTAAGTTTATCACTGTACAATTATTTAGTGTTCTTTTGAAGATAAGTTGAATTAATTTATTTTGATTAATTAATTTGGTCAATAAAATGAATTGATTACTTTGTTTTTCTATCTTGATCAAAATGCATATTTTTCAAGGTTAATAATTATCACTGACAAAATAAGAAGAATAATGTCGTTTATGCATTAATTTTATAAAATAACAAATATTTTTTTAAAAAAATAACGACATATAAATTAAAAAAACATAAAAATATTATAAAAAATTTATTTTTAATAAAAATGATATATAATAGAAACGAACTAAATAGAATTTGGAAGTACCACTTCTAAATTTAAAAACAAGAAAAAATATGTTAACTACTACGAAATGTATAATCTATAATATTTATCAATAACAAAGAAATGATATGTCAACTTCCTCGAAATTTATCAATATGAGATCAATTGTCAAACCCTCAAATAAGTAGTGAATAGTGATAGTCTTTGCAATTGTGTATGATTGTGTACCAACCATAATATATCAACATTATAAATTAGTAAAATTTTCCGCGTCTCGCGCGGAAACTTTATATCATAGAATTTATAAAATAATATTTTAAATTTATTAGTTATTAAAATTAAAATATTGTATTATTTCGCGTACAAAATTATTACGTGATAACAAACATTAATAATGTAAAGAAAATGAAATTTATTACATTCTATTATTATTTTTACTAACATAAACATAATTTAATGACTAAATAAATTATACCAAAATCTGTAACATAAGCAATCATCAGTGAATCACTCAACAGGAACAAAGTACATAAATATTAGTTATGAAGAAGAAGAAGAAGAGGAGGTACCGTGCACAAATGTTTATTATGCCTTATCTGAAAGGTTACAACTATTTGGAAAAGTTGCAACCTTCCGAAAGCTCACAACCTTTCATAAAAATCACATCTTTTCATAAAAGTTGCAACTTATAATGAAAGTCGCAACTCTTCATAAAAGTCATAATTTTTCATAAAAGTCACAACTTTTTTTAAAAATCACAACTCTTTATTAAAGTCACAACTGTTCATAAAAGTCACAGTTTTTCATATAATGAGAAGACTACTTTTGAAAATAAATAAATTTAAAAGACAATTCTGATTTGTGGTGATATATATATATATATATATATATATATATATATATATATATATATATATATATATATGATATTTCGACCTTGTCAATATTATTCTTATATTAATTTACCTATTCTGAGATTTAATTATACATATTGTATTCACGTGTGACTTGCCACTATATTATTTATTCAATTGTGTAAAAGTTTCAGAAATATAATCTTTTTTTTGTATTGAAGGAAATTATTATAATGTGGAGAGCATACTTAATAGGGAAAATTGTATAAAATAGCAAACTAATAACCTAAATTAAATAGAATAGCTAGGGTTTGATTTATTTGTGCTCCATAGCAAACATTATCTAAAATTTGCCAGCGTCTCTCTCCCAGGAATCTCGCTCGCCACTCTCCATTCTCGCTCGCCTCTCTTGCTTTATACACAGAAGTGTATAATTCTGTTTCTGTTTTGTATAAAGCGAGAGAAAATTGTATACACATGCAAAAATATATATCTTCGTGTTATACACTTAATTATACAATTTACAAACATTTTACTTCAAAAATTGCAGAGAAAAAGGCCAACGAATTATACAATTGCAGTGAAATACAATTTTCTCTAGCTTTATACAAAAGAAGTGTATATATTGTGTTTCTGTTTTTGTATAAAGCGAGAAAAACATATATCTTTTTCTATAAACTTATAATTATGCAATATACATACATTTTAATTCGATTCAACTATATGCAAAGCAAATTATACAATTGCAGCGAAATAAGCCAGCGAATTATACAATTTAGGCCAGCGAATTATACACTTGTATATGTATAGCGAATTATACAGTTTTTATGTTTGCTATGGAGCGCAATTATGCAAAGTTTGCTATATTATACAAATATGAATTTTTTGTTTGCTATATGTGAAAGTTGCCCTTAATTTTATCTACACAATTTTTTTTATCTCAATTTATGTACGTTACTTATCGTTTCTTGAAATAAAATTAATTAGTTTTTTAAGTTAATTTAGATTAGACGAACACAATATTTTAAAATTTTAATTTTTCAAAAAATAAAAGTAAAAAACTATGACGTAACTATTTTCTGTTTTTACTTATATGCATATTCATGGAATTTTATGAGCTCTCTTATAACAGTGTTAAGAAGAGATACAAGAACTTCCTATCGCTACTGTGGACTCCTTCTTCAATACGATAACGGTCGACTCTGTTCACTTTTATTTGTCTGTGCATGTCATTTTAAGAAAGCTTCATATTCGTATTGATTGATGAATGATTTTATATTTTTAAAAATAATTAATATTAAAAATAACGAGTATGAATATAAAATATTCTCCATGTGACAGTTTGCAAATTTCAAGATTTAAATAACTCTATTTTTTATCATAATATTTTTTACAAATCTTTTGAATTATCAATTATTGTGGTTTAATATTTTTTTTATATAGTTTACAAATATATAATTTTTATTATTTTTTAAAAAGATTTTATAGAAATTAGGAGGAAAGACTTTCAATTTCTTGTTGAAAAGCCCGCGCTGCACAAAAAGTATATAGTTGTCACCACTGAAAAGTGAACATTCCAACAATGGCCACCATTACCAATTTTAATGTCGATGAATTTGACTCAATGAATGTTGTGGAGGAGTATAAGAAGATAAGTGTTAATGATCCGGTGAACTTTTATACTTGGTCGAAGAAAAAATTTGTTGACAGGCTTTGTGCTGTTGCTAATTTACAGATTGACGATCATCTACCAGGTATTCTACTAGCTTTGCTGCCTGCACAAATTTCTTTTTATAATGCACACTTCAATCGCCCTATATATCCTTAAAATCACTCTGCGAAAATTCAAATTTAGTTGAACTTTTTATATCTTAATTATTAATATAATTTCTTTTAACTTACTTGAATATCGTAAATGAAAATAGTTTAATTAAAATTAAATATTTAAAAAATAAACTTTAAATTATTATCTACTTATAAATTACTATAATTTTAATGAAAAAATTAATATATTTTTATAAATTTTATTTTTAATATCAAATTTAATTAAAAAATATTTTAAAATTATATTCGATGAATTGAAAATGAAAAAATTATTATATAAGATAAAACAAAAAGAATTAAAATTCTTACGGATTAAACTTAATCCGCCCGGCTCCACCCTATTGCTATTTCTTTTAGGTGAGAGTGGCCATTCACTCGTCAAACATGGGAGTCAGTAGAGTTACTAATGTACTAATCTTTCCATTAATTTTGTGGTTGTTTTTTCTCTTTCCTTTTTTAAGTTTAATTTATATATTTAATAATTATGTAGAAATTATTATAAATTATAGCAATTTAAAATATTTAATTATATATTTAAAAAATGCGTATAAATTTATAACAAGTAAAAAAATAAAATTTTATAGGTGCAGAACAGATAAAAGAATGTATATTATTTAAAAATTAATATTAATCACAATATTGAATATTTAAAAATTGTATAGTAAATTTGATCAAGTTTTATAATTCTATCTGTGTGTAATTCGCCACGCGAAATATTAAATTTGCTGGTGTTGTGTAAACTTGCTCTCAAAACATTCGCCGACGGCGTCAATCTGGTCTGCTTGATTTTCCGGTCGGTAATTACCGGTAACTTTTCAGGTAGCATGTTGATTTGGGAGCTGATTCTTTATCAATATGTTTGCTTAGGCCTAAAACCTAATTTCACACCGTCGCAGATTATTGCAATTTTCATATAGCTTTGTGATTGTCTAACTTCTATATGCAATTTGTGATTGTTTAATTTCTATATGCAATTCAAGTATGGTGAATCAAAAGTGGTAAAATTTTGAAACTTAGGAGTAGCTTTATTTTAAGTAGAAATTGAAGTATTGAACTCTTTATGAAGCTTTTAAACAGTAGATTTATACTAGAGTAATTAATGCTAAAGAATGGTAATAATGCACTATATTATACTGATTAACACAGAAATGAAGTAAAGTTGTTTGTTTCTACTTAGTGCTACAGTCTAGCCTGAAACTAACTTGACTATTTATGTTATCTATTTGGTTGTGCTTTTCATCCCTTTTTAATGAGAAATGATTGCGTCTTGTTTACTGTTAAAATGTTTGGCAGTTGGAGATGAAGGCAAGACAGAGAAATTGGTCACAGCAACAAAGAAGGGTGCAGCTGTTTTGGATCAATATCTGTCAGATGAAATCAAGGCATTATACCATGTCCTGCATCAAGTAAGTCTTTTGGAATTTTTTTTTGCTTCTGGCTGCAAAGAAGTATTTGTGTTGTTCTATTTATCCCTCGTATCTTGTTGAATAAAGTTCATTTGGTTTCCAATGGATTCTTGTTGATCTGCAGGGAAATGATATTTATGAGGCCACATTGAACCAAACAAATGTTGAGAACAACGATAACGAATTTTATATCATTCAAGTTCTAGGTGATTCTCCATTTGTTGCCTCATATGCATCTTAATTTGTTAGAAGCAAACTGCCTAGTTAGCTTGTTTACCTTTTAAAGTGGTTTTCTATGCAATGGTAGCAATATATACCATAATAAATTGTTCCAATTTATTAGTTGCTAAAATCAGCTGACTACTTCTGATAGTGCGCCATCCCTGAGAACAACTATGAATGTTGTATTTGGTTCTTCATCGTCTAGAGATAATCAAAATTCTTACATGTTTGAAACTTGCTGATATTACATCATGTCAGTACCCTTCTGCATATTTGTTTGGCCTGATTCCATTCATCTGGTTGTAGAGAATGATTGTGGTGGGAATTTCCTTCTTTACACTAGATGGGGTAGAGTTGGTGAAAAGGGAGAAACGAAGATCAGTGGTCCCTATACGTATGCCGGTGATGCCACATCTGAGTTTGAGCGTAAATTCTATGAGAAGACCAAGAACTGTTGGTCTAACCGCAAAGATTTTTTTTGTCAACCAAAGCAATATGCTTGGTTGGAAATGGACTATGATGAAAATGGGGAATACTCATCAGTAAGTTGTTTCAAGTTACTTGTTCTCTATTGGGACAATCATGTAGTAAATTTTTATTTCTGCATTGATGTGGAATATATTGCTCTGTATCACAATCGTGTAGATGTACTAAACTCGTTATTGATTCATCAACTTAGAATCTTCTGCTCTACTTTCTGCTGTTGCATCTGAGTCGAGTTGTGAAAAAATATGCAATAACTTGTAATTTTCTATCATATGAATAAGGAGTTAGGTTTGAAGTACCATTCTTGTTTATCAAGTCGACATTGCAACAGATATAAAATGGTGTTTACTAATCTCAGGGCTTTATGAACCACTTAAACAGATCCAAGGACAGTCCATTCTAGTACCAAGAAGTCGACCTCGTGAGACTAAGCTGGAGGCCCCGATTGCAAAGTTCATATCTCTTATTTGTGACATCAATATGATGAGGCAGCAAATGATGGAAATAGGTTTAGCACTTTTCTTACACCATAATGGTTCTTATCTTGATATTCATCACGCCTATTATTGTAACTACTATATATTCTTGTTATTGTTGAACAGGGTACAATGCTAACAAGTTGCCACTCGGTAAATTGAGCAAGAAAACTATTTTAAAGGTAAGTATCGGAGTGTGATTTATGCTTTAGTGTCTCATTTCTGAACTACTTGGTTTTATCTCCATTTATTTAAATCTGCGTGACCCTGAATGAAAAATAATTGATGAAGCATATACCAAATTATGTAAAGATTCTCTTAAACATTACTCCCTCCGTTTCAATTTGTTTGTACTACTTTCTTTTTTAGTTCGTTTAAATAAGAACGCCTATTTCCTGTTTTGGCTACTCTTTAATTTCAACTTTACACATTGCACGTGTAAAACCACAAGATTAAATGGCATTTTGGTACATTTGACATATTTTTAATTTAAGCTCACATGATTCAAAAGTTTTCTTTACTTTCATATTACTCCGTGTCAAGTCAAAACATGACAAACAGTTATAACGGAGGGAAGTATCTTCAAATATTGTATCTCCTTTGTTCCAGTTACTTGATTTGCCTTTACCATTTCCCCCGAAATTCTGTTTTTTCTATATAGAATTGAAACATTCTAAATAGTATAACTCAATTCTATGAAATAATGTCTTCTTTTTTGAGATATAATTTTACGCCCACTAATATTTCCTCATCAAAGCTTGAGGTGTTGATTGGTGCTCTCCTGGAGTACCAAAAATTCTCAGTCCTGAGGGTATCATGCTTTACTACCCTCACCAAGACATAACTCAATCAGCAAATGGAATAATAAATGAGAGAAAAAAGAAAATTACTACTCTGGACTATTTAACTAAAAGTTTGTGTCTGTTTAGGGCTATGATGTCTTGAAAAATATTGCTGATGTTATAGGCCAGTTCAACAGGACACTGCTTGAAGATTTGAGCAGGTAAGTTTGTTTCATTTCTACTGCGAGTTGTCTTATTATGGTCAATACACGTCTGCTAAGCCCAAACCATGTTGTTTCCGAAATTTTAGAAGCTTCAGCAGTTGTTTGTAATCATGAATATGTGGTTGCTCATATTTCATCATTTTTATGTTGCAGTCAATTCTATACAGTCATTCCTCATGATTTTGGATTCCAGAAGATGTGTAAGTCATCTTAGTTCCTTCTCCATCATAGCCTCATTTTCCCTCGTCTTGCTTCATCTGCTTGCTTGATCCTCCAGTCTTTCTTTTCTCCTTGTGTCCTTTTTTCCCCTCAGCTACTTCATGTAGATGGTAATTGTTCTGTTAGTTTTGCTGTAACTCACTAATATACTCATTGTCCTACTGACAGGTGAATTTGTCATTGACACCCTTCCAAAGTTAAAACGCAAAATTGAAATGGTGACTGATTTTTTCTCTTTTCTAAATTCGCTCTTCTCTTTCCCCTTAGCATTATTCTCTATGTATGGGTATTTCAGTCTTAAGGGTAGACATGTCTGCTTTGTATTGCTTTTGACAGTTAATTAGACTGACTGATCATTTGATGTTCATCACTGACTGTTATGTCCGTCTATAAGCATGAATTTCTAATTTACTGATAGTTAGTGTTCCCTCACAAATGAGTTGGTTCTAACTATATGCATTTGCTAACAAAGAAAATGTTAAAAAGTTTAATTAGTTGTTATGAGTAAAAAATAATCCTTACAATGAAATTTTAGTTTAATGTTTTTTTACGTTTATTTTCTTTCTGCTTGTCTATGTTTTACTTATTTCTACCTGATCCTTTTTCTGTGCCAAACTCTTGGAAACGAAAAGGTCAAAGCTCTTGCTGAAATTGAAGTCACAACTAAGTTATCGGAGGATAACACAGATATACAGGTACTGCTTTGTCGAGTCCTGTTGAAAGTATTTGTTTTAATTTTGGTGCGAAAAGAACATTCTGTTTTGGTTGAAGCTATGTTCCAAGAGATCTGGCTTTTAACACAATTTCATTTGCTTTAGCACTCAATAAATGCCTTGATGATTAATATATGGCTCTGAATTGGCATCATCATATTGTAGGAGGATCCCTTGTTTTATCAATATGAACAACTTGGTTGCAAACTTGTTCCAGTTGAAGTCGGTTCCCAGGAATATCTCATGGTATGAAAAAGTTTTTGCCGGATCTATTACTTCATGGTTTTTATCTTCTGAGTATAGTATTTCTTTATTTAGCTTGATCAGCATGACAAGTATGAATATCGTGAACATGTCTTCTAAATTATTATTCTTCTTTGGAGTTTATAAAGCCGAGTACGTTATTTTTGGTCAGATTGAGAATTACATGAAGAATACCCATGCAAAAATACATTCTGGTTATGCTGTCGATATTGTTCAAGTATTTAGGGCATCAAGAAATGGTGAAAATGAAAGATTTCAGAAGGTGAACTGCAAAGTCTCATAAAATTTCTTACAACATCTTTTTTCTATGTTTTTATATCTTATAACTACTACTACCCTAGACTGGTGAAAAATCTGTGAACTCTCTGGATGCAGTTCTCTGATACGAGTAATAGGATGCTTTTATGGCACGGTTCTCGGCTGACAAACTGGGCTGGCATTCTTTCACAGGGTTGTTGTTTGCTTATTCTCTTGTTTTAATTTCTTTAAGCATGTTTTAAGTCATTTGTAATTACCTAATGGTCGATTCCTACGTGATACACTAGGTTTAAGAATTGCTCCTCCAGAAGCACCTTCGACAGGGTACATGTTTGGGAAAGGTGTTTACTTTGCTGATATGTTCTCCGAGAGTGCAATTTATTGCTATGCCTCATCGGCTGCTAAGAATGGTGTGCTTTTGTTGTGCGAGGTTCGTTAGCCTTCCAATCCAGCGCGAACTTTGTTCCCCTCTTATCTGTTTATGTCGTTCCTTTAGACAAGTCCATTTTTGTGTGCCACAGTTTCTCTATATCTAGTTTTCCATTTCACATGTTTTCTTTTACAAGATTTGAATAGGGAGGGGAAGTCCTAAAGTCCAGAATTCAACGACATTTCTACTTCCTTCACAGGTTGCTCTCGGCGACATGAATGAGCTATTGTCAGCCAACTCCGATGCTGATAAGTTGCCTTTGGGAAAGCTAAGGTTTCATTCTTCTCATATAGAGAAACCTATTTTTAGCTGGAAAAGAATGATTCATGGAAATATCTTGTCTTCTTGATATTGCAGCACAAAAGCAGTCGGTGCCATGGCCCCAGATTTTAAAGAAGCTCAAATACTTGAAGATGGTGTCATCGTTCCTCTGGGAAATCCAAAGGAGCGACCAAAACACGAGGTTTACACGACTACTATTTATGACGTTGTTTTTACTTCACAATTTTCCATTGTCTCAGAACATTATATGCATACGATGTTCTTGATTGTGAAATTCTGAATGAGAAATCCTACTTTTTTGTGTTAAAATGAACTTCAGTTTCTGCTGTCCAGTCCCATATATACTAAACATTGCCTTGCATGTTTTTGCAGGGTAATTTGTTGCATAATGAGTACATTGTTTACAATGTGGAACAATTAAGGATGCGCTATGTTATCCAGGTTGAGTTCAATTATGAAATATAATCGTACTGTAAATATAATTTCATCTTTTTAAGTTTCGAGTATCAAGAATTTCGTTTATATCATGTATATATAAATTCATCTTAAATCAATCCAACTAGAGAACAATCATGTATGATAAGTATTAAAATTGCGTTTTTAGCTAAAATTTGACCTTGTTGTTCTAAGTATTACAAAGTAACTAAGGTAATTTTTTCTTTTTTTAGATAAATAAAATTTGTTAGTGTCCTTTGAACTTGTTCTTCAAAAGCATTTGCCGGAGCTCAACGGGGTCAATCATATCTGCTTGATTTTCCGGTCGATAATAACCGGTGACGGGGTGAGGTACCCATGGTGATTTGGGTGGTGATTGATCTTCATCTCCTCCTTTCAACTTCATCATCATCATGTTGCTCAACTCACTTCCTCCTCTTGTTCCTCCGCCTGACGCTGCCACCGCATATCCCTTCCTACAATACGAAAACCTAAATAAAATCATTTTTTTCAAACATGTTTGAGTGAGCGGACGAGAAAGAAAGGATTTATGATGAAGTTAGTGAGAGTTAATATACATAAATTTATATAATTATTTGATGAAGAAATATGGATTTTCTTTAGATTGAAAATGATAATTAGTTACCTGGTTACAAGAAGAGTGAATCGATTGGAAAATAGCTTAACGTTGGAAAAAGAGAGAGCCATGTAGTTATCAAAGTGATATTATGCCAAAGAAAATATATGATATGAGTTTATTAGAACAATGTTTTGATGATTTCTTGGAAATTTTTGGATGTGAAGAAGCATGGTATAAGAAGATGGCCATATTTATAAGTAGAGGAAACTAAGTGTTTGTAAGATATTTTTGGAAGAACAAATAATCCTGAACTTTTTGGAGTTATGTAGACTAATATCTTATGTATATCTAAGAATTGTGTAGACGTTCTAGAGAATTGTAGAAAAATCTAGGTTCTTGTTAGATAGTTAGAAGATAAGGATATTTAGATTTTTCTTGTAGATGTATCTGGAATAATTTCTAGAAGTATAAATAGGGGTGACATTAGACATTAGTACGTAATCAAAAAACAAAGACATTCAAAGCATTCAAGAAGTGTTCCAAAATCTTCTTTCTCTCTTCCTCTTTCTTTAGTTGAATTTTTTGATTTTACTTAACGATTTTGGGTTAGCAAATGAAATTTTAAAATATACTTTTCTTATGCTATTGTGTAGTGTGTTTGGGCCTTGCGATCATACTTTGAAATGTGAGGAAAAGGGACATGTTTAATGTCATATTTTCTACTTCTCTTTAAACATCAAATTCTTATCCATTCATATTTGATTTAAATAAAAGAAAGTATAATTTTATTATATCATCTTTAATTAAGTATTATATTTTTAGTTTAAATTTATATAATAATACTATTAATTAGCGACGTTTAAGAAATAATGAAAGGTCTTATTTTTGACTCCTTATGCACTATTGTTTCATGACTAAATGAAATAAAAAAAATTTAAAATGTACGTAAAGAATATATATACATAAGAAACCATGTATTGAGTCTATTTTTGGGTTTCTACCTTATCTTTTATCCACTTATTTCTGAAAAAATGACAAAGACATATAATAAAAACAAAATTTTGAGTTATATTGTATAGTTGATGGCCCATGTATTTGCAATTGCTGCTGTGGTAGTAGGAATTTTGCTGTGGGAGCTGAGAAAACACACGTATATATAAAGCCTCTTGACATCAACTAACAGAATAATACACTGAAAATAGCCAAATAATTAAAAAATAAAGATTATCTCCATAGTTTTCTTTATTTTTATCAACATAAAAGAGAGATTATGTTAAATTAAAGTTTTCATTTTGTTTCATTCCAATATTCATACTCTATAGATTTTGCAAATTTTGGGGATTAAAGGAATTTGTAAATGAATGCCAACTTGGGAGTACTAGTAGGTTGTTTAGTAAAGCTTCTAAAATACTATATTTAAAATTAATTATTATATTTAGTGACGGTAATAAATATGAATATTTATAACCAATATTTTATAAAAATGTCACTAAAATCTTCAACTCACTGTAATGACATTAATTAATTTAATTATAGCTAAATATATTGTTAATTTTTTTTTATTGTCACTAAATATCTCTTATATTATAGTTTTATGACTTTTGACTGCTTTTAACTTATAACTACTTCACTTAAATTTTGAAGATTTATTAGATACATATATAAGCCAAAAGAATTTACTCATAAACTAATTTAAACCAACTTATAAGCTTAATAAAAAACCATCATAATTTTCATTTGTCTGGCATATGAATGAATTGTTGTTGGCTCAAAGATCGAACAATAACTACACTAGTAATGCTAAATTTAGTTCAAACAACTTCATTTTAACATCCATTATATAGATCTATCTAACTGATAAATAATAAAAAGAACAGTATATTCTTATCGGAGTTTAATCTCTTTATACGAAGATTTTTTTTTTAACACTATCAAATCATAAAAAGTAAGGTTTGTAACTAGAAAAATCAAATTAAATCGACTACTTGTTACAAAAGATCAAAAAACTTAAACAACGCAAAATATTATTTTTTATATCGAAAGTGTAGACACAAAAGTTAAACATCCTTATTATTATGATAGCATAATTATTAAGGCCACAAAAAAGTGATCCTTACTATCAATAATTCTTTCAAAGTACTTATTGAAATTATGCAACATACCAACAAAATCAAACATTTAATTCATCGACTTCATAAAATTCAATCAGACCAAAAAATGTCCATCAAACCCCATTGAGGATCTTTTTTAGAAATACCCAAATTTTTCCACACAGCTTCAGAAGCATCAACAATATTATTTTTACACCCTCTACTTGTGTCACATTCATCAACCACCATAGCTTGTGTACTCATCCCATTATTTGCATAAATATTAATATTTTCGAAACAACGTCTCCCTTTACTATACCATCTAGTCGATAAAGCCACTACTGGAATTGAGTTATCGTAATATTTGCCACTACATTCCGATGGACCACCACCCGAACCGCCTTTTTGGAAATCATTGATAGTTAGCTTTGCCTTGGTACGATCGTTTGGTTTGTAATTTAGAGCGTTCACCATTAAAAATGTGTTACTATAAGCTAATAAAAGAACAAAATGAAATAAGATGAGGTAATTGTTCATTTTTTGCACTTAGGTGTAAGTTTGAGAATTTTATTAAATTGGTGAAAAGTTGATAATTTTATAGAAAGATTTGCCGGCCAATAAATATGTGAAATATAAATAGATCAATTAAAAAACATAATGGGGGTAAGAATACTGACAAAAAAATGAATGACACAAGAACAATATCAAGTTTTACTAGGAAATTAATGTTTTGGATTTTATTAGACAAACCAAATCATGATATAATTAAAATATGTTGCAACGCCATTGTTTATTTGTTTTTTTCTAGATGACATTCTTGAAATTTTAAGTTGCTTTAAACATGTACAGTAATTTTTTTTTGAAAAGAATTGATTGTGATGTTAATTTACTATATATTAAAAGTTGGCTACATTCAAGGTTTTCACGAGGCTAATTAATCTTTTTCAAAACAATAATAATAATCATTACACGTATATCCTTGATATGGTTTACAAGACAAAATTAAAAGGATGGTGAATCTTAAGCAAGAAGGTAGAAACATTTGTCATCGAATTAAAATTGACTATTCCAATAAAATGCAAACGAAAAAATAATAATTTAAATAGTCATAGTATTTGAAAAGAACAGTAGAAGAAAAATAAAATTAAGAAAATTTTCTGCTAACTCAAGATCATTGATTAATAAATTCTAAATTATTTCACTATAACAAGCGAATAAAAAAATTTATTATGGATAAACAAAAATGGAACTTCAAACACAAAATAAAAAAAATGAAACATACTAACATGATGGGGGAATTCGAGAAGTCCATTAATAACAGGAACTAAGAAAAACTCACATTACATGCCATAAATAAATAATATAAGGAGTCAACAATGTTTAAATTTTATTTAATTATAGTTCTAATTGATAAAAAAATCACTGATCTTAAATTTTATTTCAATTAATCTAAAAGAAAAAAATTAATTTGGTAATTCAAGATATCGATATTGATGATATATCTATATTATTAGTTATTTATATTGACAAGTATCGATTTAAGGTAATAAATAACGTACTAGCCATTTGTTGTTTATATATTTATCTTAGATATTGTTGTGAGGAAGTTTGATTATCAATATAAAATTTTAATTTATTTAATTTATATTCCTAAAATATTTTTACTCTTAAAAAGTAGTCCATCTTTCTTTCATTGTTGTTTTTCCTTTTTTTTTTTCTTCAAAAACTTTAATAATATCAAAAACTTTAATAATATCTTCATATTTACAAAATTAGAGGCCAAGATATTTGTTCTTCTTCATGAAATTATTTGATCTTTTTATAGACAGGATGAATCATACCAAACCTCGTATTACCTTTAATTTGATAAATATAAGACGGACGAATCAGTTTTAATTATTTTTTGAAATAACTATAATTATTAAAAAATGAATTTCTAATGGAATCAATTATACCAAGGGATATTAACAGGCAATTATATCAAGGGATAGAAAAGTACTTGATGCTAAGTATTTTGATTAAATTAGGGTGTGGAACAAATCACAAGCGTTATGAATATTTTGATTTTTTATGACCGAGAGTTTAGTATTATTGGTTACTTCTTAACGGAGGAGGTCGTACTAATTACATGGTTCATTCTTGAAAACTATCAAATATAAGATTTGTAATGAAAGTGTTTTCCTGAGTTTATTTCTAAAAGTTCACACTAATTTTGCTTACATGAAACAAATAAAATTGAATTTTGTTATCGTTTCTGAAAGGGCATTAATTTCATCATTTTGAGTACTATATTAACATATTTTTTTGGCTTGTCCCTCGTTAAAATAATCGTGGTTAAGTGTATGTTTGTAATCGATCTATAGCCTATCATCCGCTATATTAATTCGGTCACCTTTGTAATCGATTCTAAGAAAATTTAAGCACCCTTTATCACTAAAGTTGAGCTGAGCAGTTTTTTTTTTTAAAAATAATTTGTTGTTAATTTGCTTTCCCTAGATTGTAAACAAATCAGAAACATTCTAGATCAGTGGTCTATAGTCGTCGATCTCATTTTTTATTCCAATACCTAATGAGAAAGACGCATAAAGATGTCCATAATTGAAGTATTTTCTTCATTGATCGTTAATTTTTTTACTCAAAGTAATTAAAAATTTACACAAATAATAACTACATTCAAAATAATAAAGCTATAACTAAAGGATATGAATTAAAACTAAGGGGTGTAGTTAAGTGGATCCCACAATTTTGAAAAATTGTACACTAATTAAATTAAATTGGAACGAAGAAATTTTTTTTTCCAAAAATACCCTTTTTGAAAAAGACACAAATTTTGACAATTCATGTGACACAGTTGGAAGAATTAATGTTCACACTTTATATTTTTGTCAGAGGATTATAGTCTGTCACAACACGGTAAACATACGTTTTTTTTATTTTTCCTCATCTCTATTTCTCGTTTTTCTCTCACGCATAAAAGGCGTGTCTAACTCACGTTTTTTATGTTGTTATTTAATTTCATTCTATATAAGTGTTTCTATGCATTCAATTTATTCCAACTCATTAGTCAATATTGCTCTACTTTACAGTTTTTAAAATTCAAAGTTTTTGATTCTTTATTTTCTGGTTGAATTTTTTTTTCTTATTGAGGTTAGTGTTGTTATTGTGAAAAACATCTTTAAGATACAAATATTGTGAATTTTTGTTGATAACAAAAATCATGTATTTTGACTTAGGTGCGGAAGATGAATTCATGGGATAAATCTGTTTCAAAGAGTGATCCTAATGTTTTTATCATTGAGAAGGAGGAGGAAGATGAACATGATATGATGTTTTTATTATTGAGGAGAAGGCGGCTCCTATGTTGAATGCAACAGATGAGATTGTTTCTTTTATCTCAAGCATGTGTAAAACAACGAACAAATCCAAAGAGTATACTGGTATAACTAAGTGATTGTTCGATTAGGAACCAAATTTTTACTCATCTTTTCAGTTTTTATGTCCATTTGGAGTGAAAGTACATCTTCTCTTCTCTTGTAAGTATAGTAGTTTCGCCCTATCAATCACTTTTCTTTTTAAATATTTTGTAAACTCTTGCTCTCTAATCTATTTATGGTTTACTCTTAAATTCTTGAACTTATGTCATCTGCAGGCTTAGAGAACTCAAGTGAGGCACGAAAGAAGATATTTTGGAGAATCACCATCACTCTTGGATGTTGACGGCTTCAGGAACATTTTTTTGTAGTCCGGGATTCTCCTATTTTAGAGAAGGAACTATGTGAAATTTAGTTCTCCAAAGTGCCAAAGAGACAATGTATCCTCATCAACATGGATGATTTGAGTTCAAGTGGAACAACATAGCAGGATATGTAAATCTTGAAAGGCTGAAAGAGTCCCTATCTGAAAGCAAGGGAGAACGCGTAATCTCACACCTACCTGGAACCAGATAAGATTGACTCACCACTGTATTTCTTCAGTCATTTATGAAGATTTTTAAAGTGTTAGCTTGTTATCATAGCTCCATACAGTTTTATTCAGAAATGAAATGTGGGCATTCCCTTGTACAAATTGAACAATAAAGATTTCTTTTCCCAAGAAGAAGAAGAAGTTATTGTTCTTGTCTTCAGATGTTTATCTCATGCAAAAAGAAAAATATTCATACCTTATAAGTTTGAAGAAGCTAAAATCCTGGGATGAAAGTAAGTGTTTTGGAAATTAACTATGACTCGTTCAGGGATATCGTAGGAGATGATGAAGACAGTAATGCTAAAGCGATACGAAAAATCTTTCTAACTTTGGTCCTTGAAGGACAACTTACTCGAAATGAGCAAAGCCTTATGTGGTAAACACTGAGAAAGGTTGAAACAGAGAAGCGAATACTCTTTTCTAGAATTCCTTTCCAAACTAACATCAAAGAATTTTACAGCACGCTGAGCATAGTTATCCAAAGTTAGGTGCAGGTCCCGAGCAAAAATGGGTTTCTATTAGCAGTTCCATTGACAAGAATGCCCGAGCACTGAAAGAGCTTAGGGATGTTACTTCATCAGTTGTCCATACTTATAGTTAAGATGTAAAGAAGGTTAGCCTTACAAGTATAAAGAATACAATGATACACTTGTAAAGGTTAGCCTTTCGAGCATTTGAGGGCTTACATTCTTTACATTTTTGCTAAATTTATGGACAAAAGGTGAAATAATATCCCTAAGCTCTCCCAACGCTCAGACATTCTTGTCAATGAAACTGCTAAGAGTAGCCTATTTTTGCTCCAAATCTGTACCAAACTTTAGACTGGCTACACTTAGGGTGTTTTACATCTTTTTGATGTTAATGTGGAACGAAGTTGCAGACAGAAATATGTACTTCTATATTTCAACCTTTTTCAGTGCTTTCCACACAAGGTTGTGCTCATTCCGAGTAGTATGCCCTTCTTCAAGGACCAACAATCTAGGAAATTTTAGAAGTATTTTTCTAGTCTCTTTGGCGTAACCATCTTCATCTTCATCTTCCCCTGTGAGAATTTTGAACAAGTCATAGCTGATTCCCAAAACACTCTTACTTTCCCCCAATATTTCAACTTCAGCATGCGCATAATGTGTGAATTCTTTTCTGTAGAATCGGATAAATGGTGGAAGACATCAATAATACCTCCATCTTTCTTTAAGGAGAAGTCTTTGTGATTCAAATTGTGGAAGGGAATGTCACCGTCCATTACTGAAACTCGATTTCCTAGTTAAGAAACAAATTTGATGGAGCTATGATTACAGGCCAACATTGTGGGAACATTTTCAGAATTGACTGAAGAAACAATATGGTGAGTCGGGTTTTTCTGGTGCCAGGTGGGTGTGCAATGATGCATCCTCCCTTACTCTCAAATAGAGGTTATCTCGGTCTCTCAAGATTTATAGTTCCAGCTATGTTGCTTCACATAAACTTAAATCCTCCACGTCGATGAGTGCATTGTCGTTTTGGCACTTAGGAGAACTAAATCCCATACAGCTCCTTCTCCATAAATAGGAGAATTACGTTGCAAAAGAATAAGAATCTCTAAAGTCGTCAACATCCAAGAGTGATGGCGATTCATCAAAAATATTTTATGTGATTATTTTGGATTATATGTGATTTATGTACGTTTTTTTAGGTGTATTATAATTTGCCTAGGACTTTTATTACCTTCATATGATGAAGATACCGGATCGTCATGAGCAAGCTAGATAGATTCTTTTTCCTTTCAACCTTCACGTGATGCTTCTTTCCTGTTTTGTCATTTTAGTACATATCTAACAAATAATACTGACTGTCTATTATTACGTCTTAACATACATCATGTGACGTCAATTCCTCATTGATGACAATTTAGTCACGCAATTGGACATGTAATTAAAATTCAAAATCTAGTAGATTTTACATTGCTTTTGTCCTTCTATCGTGCCTAGACTTTTGTTTTCTCACCATAGGCTCAAATTTATGATCCCTTTTGAATTGGTAATGTTATATCTTATGTGACTTTCTCATGATTTTTTATGCATATTATAATTTTTCTAGGCCTTTTAATACCTTCTTACGATGAAGACACGAGATTATCAAGAGCAATCCCAATAGACTATTTTTAACTTTCAACCTTCACTTGACGTTTCTTTTTTCATTTTAGTACACGTATAAATAATACTAACCATCTATTATCACATCGTAACATATATCATATGACATTAATTCCTCATTGATGACACTTCAGTCACGCAATTGGATATGTGATTAAAATTTGAAGTCTAATGGATTTTACGTTGATCTTATTTTATTCATAAATTCAAAATTAAAGAGTTTAAGATTCCTAGAGTTTTTTTAAATATATTTCAGAGATAAAGTATAAGTGTCTCTTGAACTATACCTGAAATTTCAGTGAAACACGTAAAATTACTATAATTTAATAGCAGAATCAATAATGAAAATGCAAATTAGAGAAAAACAAAATAGTAAGTATAAAAGCAAAACCTTAGTTTTGATCTTACTAATTGAAATGACAGATATATTACGTGAGTATAAGCTGACTTTCTCACTATAAGAACCTTATATATATATATATATATATATATAGCTTAGCAGTTAAGGGGGTTTAGAAATTTGGCTTAATGTAATGGGTTCGATTCTACACAACTAACATTTATTTCAGTTTTCCGGTGAATTTTATTTTTTGGGACTGGAACATAATTATGTTTTTTTATCATTATTCTTTTCGTATTCTTTATGCCATTTCTCCTTTTCAATTTCAATTGTTCAAATTTATTATGCTAACTATTTTATATTTTTATAATTTTTCATCTCTACGATTTATTTTATTTCTACGTACTCTTTCTATATACTAATTTAAAGGAACTCTTTCAAAATTATAAATTGTTCTTCAACTTCAAATTGAGATAGAGATAAAATATTTTAAAGAAAAGGTAAACAAAATTTAATCGAACGAAGAAATTTGAAAGGCATAAATATAATATTCATGATCTTTTCTTTCGTATTCTTTCAATTTTATTCTTATATGTAAATTAAATTTATTCATTTCTTTTACGAATGGAAAACCTTATAAATTGAATAAATAAACTAAAAATCGGTGATGCTATTTAATTATCATTTTAATATTCATTATAATAGTAGTAAATCAACCCCTACACATATTAAAGAGTATTAAACAATTTTTGAAGTAACATATGATTGAATGAAAAATAATTTAATTTATTTTTATGAATTTAAAATAAAGTAGAACAATACAATATAAAAAGAAAAAAAGTTACAATTTCTAAGAAAAATCACTTATAAAGTGAGGGTAAAATAGGAAGAAACGCTAAATATGGTATGACAAGACTAATTGAACTGATATCTCACTCGGCGCTAAATTTCTAGCGAGAATACATGTGACGTTGACGAGGACTTCATTAACATGCCATGAAGAGTATATATTTGTTTATGCCAGCAATAAGCTTATCTATTGCTATGAAACTTCCTTTGAACTTTTACATTCACTCTATAGTCGCTTCTTTTTTTCAATCTTTTGAAAATCAAATAGTATTATCGCATGGCGAATATATAGTTAACTATGAAAGTTTTCTATTGAGTATCAAGAAAAAAGCCAAATCGTCAGAGGATTGAACTCTATATAGTTAAAATTTTGAAAGTCAATTAAAATAAATTAACCCAAAACTTTAAATAATTTTTCAATATTTTAAGTTTTAATTATTCTGATTTATATTGTCTTTTATGTAATTTTTAAATACACAAAATTTATATCAAAAAAATTTAATTATCATCTTCGAATTTACCATCAAAACTATAAAAATTTGAGTCTCAAAATTACAATTATATCACATAAATTTGAACAAAAGGACAATATTTATATCAAGTATAGGAACGACGTCAGGCAAGGCGGATGTAGGGAGGGGCATAGGTTCGAGGCTATGCAAGGCAGGGCGGGCGAGATGTGGAGCGGGTTGAAGTGGTTTTTTTAGACTAATATGACGTGGGATGGATTGCGGGTATAAGAGTGATAAAACATTATCTATTAAGATAATTTGTTTAAATTTACTAAAATATTTAAAATAGTATATCTAATTAGTTTAATAAAAATAATATAATTTCTTATATGTTTCCAGTTGATGTCTAAAACATAAAGTTTAAAGTTATTATCTATTAAATTAATACAATTTAATGAAAAAATAAATTTTATTTTTAGTATCAAATTTAACAAGAATGTTTTTTTGAATTTTTTTTATGTAAGGCGAATCTATGTATAGCTAGGTGTGACGGATTAAAAAAGAAAATATTATTTATAAATATGATAAATTAAAAATTTTACGAATTAAATTCAATCCGTTCCACTCCATAGTCAAACCCTAATCAAGTGGGGCGATTATTTAATCTACGTTTTCAAGTCAAAATGATTTGACAAAGTCAAAGTCATAAATCATAATTCTCCTAAATTAAGGATCTCATAATGAAGTCGCTCTACAATATTAACCAATTTTCTAAGTCAAATATTCACCGAAAACATGAATTGAAAATATAAAATGTTAATCGGAATTTTTCTTAAATGAAGTTCAATATGGTACGAATTTAGAATAATTTAATTTTAATATAATTATTAAATATCTAATAAAAAATCAAAATCAAAATAAAATATAAAATACTTTTAGCATCGCTAAAGATGTTTCCTTAAAAAATATTTAATTTTCATGGAGATATTTTATATTACACATTTTTCAAAACTTCAGTGGATATAGAACGTCGGTGATATATGATATGATTAGGATACTGTTTTTTTTTTATAATTAAAGGTTGCAATTGTCTAATTATTAATTGAGGTAAGCAATTTAAATTTAAAAATTACGTATATGGTAAATTTTAAATAAAAAATCTAAGATAAAACAGTGTTGAAATCACACCATCCATTTCAAATAGGATTTGTCCCCTGGACACACGAGCAATCCAACCCGTAGGATTTCCTTTTCCTCTTCCCATTCTTACTTCTGTAGGTTTCCCGGTAATAGGGATATCTGCGAGAACTCTTATCCATATCTTACCATTTCTTTGGAATTGTCCGCTCATAGCACAATGAAAGTGTCCGATTATAGCACGACGCACTGCTTCAATGGCTCGATATCTATATAGTAAGTGGTCCATAACTAATCATATTCTCTTACTCAACCTATACTCTTTCCCTCTGCTAAACACATATTTGGATTATAATATTATTTTATTTTTGAGTTTTATCTCTTAATTATTAGTTATTATTTTTTTATACACGATTAAAACACATCTCGAGTTTAAGTATGTATTAAAACACAAGTCGCTATTTCCTACATAACTATCATCATCTACTAACTAAGTGTATTTTGACTTTTAATACATATATGGTGGTAGTTAGGGGCGGATTCACGTTGGGTTCAGGGTGTTAATTCGAACATTCTTGGTTAAAAAATACACAATATATATAAGGTAAATTTTCTGTATTTTTGTAGATGCATACATTTTGAACCTCTTCAATAACAAATAAATAGATTGTTCAATGGCAAAACCTTTGAATATTAAGTTGCATGCCCCAAGTTCAAATCCTTGTAACGACACTTACTTTATTTTTCTTTATAGTTTTAGTTTATTTTTGTTTAAAAAAATCAGTTCTGTTTTTCAAGCATTTTAAAAACGTGCCAAAAGTGTTGTTTTAAACCCCAAAATATTGAAAGGGCCCATTTCGAAGACTTATTTACACGTTTATATTTTTATTTTTTGAACCTCCTGTTTGAAAATTCTGAGTCCGCCACTGGTGATAGTACAGATATGTGGGGGGGGGGGGGGGAACGAGTGATAGTTAAGGTGTGAAACTCGCAAAAAAATGATAATTTAGATGTGTTTTTACCATTATCCCTCGGATGGTTTTTCCTGAACCCATCTGAATTTTGAAGCCCCCACTGAAGCTCCGACTAAATTTAAATCGCGCAATACACAATTGATTCAAAAATAGCGCTTCTAATAAAATTTTCTCCATACCCAAGGCTCGAACATCAATTCACTACAATTCCTTAGAAAGAAAGCATATATAGTAGTATAAAAGTCTATATGTGGCACTAATTCACACAATTCCTAGGATTAATAACTAATTTCTACACTAGAAAGTATTAGTTTAATTAATCATTGTTAATTAATTAATGAAGTTGCACAACTTGTTTAGATACTTTAATCCTTCATTTCTTATGGAGCAAAACTCTAAAGTTGACAAGCAACAACCCAGCTTTTCAGCTCTCACTAATTAAAGTCTAACTCTTCAAACCTCCATTTTAATTTGTAAATTACCAATTGATCATCATCTTGCAATATTTAAACACTAATAATTTTTTTACAACTTTCCAGCTATTTTGCTTATTCCACACTTTAATCCTAATCCTACACTATAAAAAAGCTCATTCAACAAGACAATTAGCATAACACAATTACCAATACCAAACACAAAATAGAGTTATGGCCTCTAATTTTCTTTTAACTTCATGTCCTAGCATTTCCTCATCCCCATCCAAAATTTTCATCCGTCCAAAACGTATCGATAACTTTAAGGTGAATTGTGAAATAAAAAATAGTAACACTATCAATGATGACGATAATGAAGGAAAATCTTTTCCAGGAAAACTTGATAGACGAAATGTCCTCCTTGGTCTAGGTGGGCTCTATGGAGCATCTAATCTTATCGGTGTACCCAATGA